CTAAACAAAATGATACACAATATGAATGACCAGTTTGGTAAAGAATCAGATTACATGAATAGAGTCCAAACAGGAATCCAGGATATTAAAAATTACATTGAAAGTATGGGCAGCAGAAGCAACAAATGTGGGGATAGAGAGTCAGAACAACCTCAGAGATAACTTAAAAACAAGAAAACATAACAAATGGATCCAACAGCCGTTAGATGATGTGAAGAATAAGATTAAATAAGTGAAAAATTGGAAGATGGCACAAATGGCATTAAAAAAAAGTCTGCTTATAGAAGTAGCAGGAAACTTTCCAAATATAGGGAAACAATTAAACACTAAGAACATAGGGTTGACTAAAGATGAATAAAGTTTAATGGAAAGACAGGGACACAGTGCCTGCCTGGCGAGCACAAGGTCCTGAGTAAGTGAGGCATACAGAACTCCAAAGAGCCAACTTCTCTACAACACATCATGGTCAAAATCCCAGAAGTACAACCCAGGAACAGGATCTTAGAGAAAAGCAATGAATCACTTATAAAAGTAAAGCCATTAGTATTACAGCAAACTTTAAAGACCAGGGGAGCTTGGAGCAAAACGTGTTAAGTCTTAAAAGTAAACAGTTTCCAAACCAGACTTACATATTCTGCAAAACTGTCTTTCAAAATTGATGGAGAAATAAAGTATTTCCAGGACAAAAAGCACCTAAAGATATTCAGGACCAGAAAACCAGCCCTATAAAAAATTCTAACGTATATTCTAGAAAGGGACAATGAAGTCAACGGTGCCAAAAATCCAACAGAATGGTGTGGCAGACATGGTATGCAGTTAAGCAGAAAGTCGGGGGAGGGAATTCAGCAACAGGAAAATAATGCAATGATAGGAATAGTCAATACATTTCAGTAGGCTAGGTGTGGTGGTACATGCCTGTAATCCCAGCACTTGGGAGGCAGAGGCAGCAGGGTCACTCTGAATTCGAGGCCAGCCTGAGCTACATAGTGAGTTCAAGGCCAGCCTGAACTACAGAGCAAGACCTTGTCTCAAAACAAAAACATTTCAATAATAACTCTAAATGTGAATGGTCCAAACTTCCCGACCAAAAACTCAGATTGGCAGATTAGATCAAGAAACAAAATCCAACAGTGTGCTAATCTTAATTCTTCCTTTCTGAATCAAGGAAGAATTAAGAAAGTTCCTAGAATCAAATAGTAATAGCAGTGCAAAACACCAGAACCTAGGGACATAAGGAAAGCAATCCTAAGAGAGGAGTATATAGCTTTAGAAAAATACAGCAAGTCAAATAAACTAATGATGCACCTCAAGGTCCTAGAAGAACAAGAACAATCCAAATTTGAAGTTAGTAAAGGAAATTATAATGATCAGGCTAGAAGTTAATAAACTGAGACTAAAAAACACAAAGCATTAATGAATCAAACGGTTGGTTTTTTGAAAGAATAAAATAGACAAACCCCTAGGCAATTTTTAAAAAAGAAATGACCCAAATCAAGGAAAAAGTATGAAAAAGGAGAAATCACGACACTGCCAAATCAAGGTTATTAGTATTTACTTTGAGAACCTTTAATAAATTAGAATTCAGAAGGGATAGATTCTTAGATATATATATGAATTACCAAAATTGAACCACGAAGATATAAAACACCCACAACAATCCAGTAACAGGCAACTGAAGAAGTAAAAGCCCAGGTCCCAATTCACAGAAAATTCTACAAGAACTTTAGGGAAGATTTCAAGTCACCACTTCCCAACATCTTTAATGAAATCAAAAGGGAAGTACTCAGAAAGTAATTCCTGGAAGCTAGCATTACCGATTCCAAAACAGAAAAGGATCACACCACAGGTTTCAGCTTAAATGCCGTCTCTTCAGTCTATCACCCTACCTACACAGGGTTCCCACCCTTAACTGCCTATTCTAGTCCGTCATTACTGTTTTTCTCCTGACATTCATCACAATTTATACTTTATTGTCTTTTTCACTCATATCCTTTTCTACTGTCTCAGCAGAATATAAAACCAAGGGAAAGAGATTTGTTTTACTTAACTGTGAGCACTCTATAGTGACCAAAACAGAATTTCCTCCTGAGGAGAACAATTTCTGTGCAGTTCAGTACTGTGTTCTAAGCACCTTAGCATACACTTGGGCACTTTGTACCTACTGAATAAATGAACAGAGGAATTCAAGTACTACTTACTATATGTTCAGATTTCTATCATTCAGTGGTTAGCTTTTTTTTTTTTTTGAGACAGGGTCTCACTATATAGTTCAAGCTATTCAAGCTGGCTTTGAACTTGCTATGTAGCCCAGGCTGGCCAAAATCTCTGCCATCTCTCTACCTCTGTCTCCTGAGTGCTGGGATTACAGGCATGTGCCACCACACCCGCTTTAGTACCAGGAATCAAATTCAGGACCTTGGGCTTGCCAGTCAGGCCCTTGTGCCACTCAGCCATATCCCTGACCCAGTGCTTAGCTTTTATACTGCAAAGTATCTTTTTTGTTACTTCTAATTTAGGAAGTAAGAGACCAAACCAAAGTACTCATAATCAAATAATCCAGAAAAAGCCACCCTGCTATAGATCTACAATATGAAGAACTACGGAATCTTGCTTATAACTCAAAACAAGAGAATTTTCTGCCATAGTGCTCTCAAAAGGATTTCCTGTTTGTCTGTCTTGTGTTCCTAAATAAATAGGCAATATTTGTATTTATTAAGGGACAATGAAAACCTGATTTGGGAATGAAAGTTTTTTTCTCCCATAATAGCATACAGTGATCTGATTGGTCAAAATACAAAATAAACCTTTACAAAATATTCTCTTTGCCAATACTGCCTATTTCAGGAAAGCTAATAATATTAAAACAAAACAAAAATAAAGACTACAACTTCTCAGATACAGATGAAACTTTATTTATACATAAAAATAATACTTCAGGAATTTTTCTTTTCCGAAAACATTCTTTTAATTATAAAGCACAAAATGAGAAGATTAAAGGGGGCAGTGAATAGCTTTTTAATCTTGTACATACATCATGGTTCACAGTTAAACAAAAATTCTTTTACATATTCTGGGGCCACATACATATTTTACATATTCCAGGGCCACACACATGCTATGCACGTACTATATCAATGCACTCTTAGCCCCTTTAAACTTTTTTTTAAGTTGCAAAAAGTATACTGTACCTCTTCTATAGTAGTTAGGTTTTATAACTGCAAATAAGGTCTCATGATAGCATCAAAAGTCAAATAAAAATAAATTATATTCTGAAATAGAAGACATGGCTATTGAAATTACATGGGTACCAGCTACAATGAAGTTACATACCACCTTCAGTGGCAAAGAATATTGAAGTAGCAGCTCCATTTTATGAATTTAAAGTTGCTCTTGTTCATTTTTAAATTTCAAAAGGAGTTCTATAAAACTTGGCCAAGGAATGTAGGAAATTAAAAAGTTCTTATTAAAAAGTATCAACAGACAAAAGACTTGATTCAAGTAGGCCTTTTGGAGCTTTGGAAGAGGGAAGAGTTAAAGAACACCTTCCTGTTCTGTGCACAGAGGTACTTTATTTTTTTATTGTCAAGGTTGTTATTTTGAGGTTACTTTCTCCATGGGGCCAAAAACCTCTGTAAGTGGCCTTACATTGTTAAAATTGACCCCAGGATAGCAAGAAAATTCAATAGCTCCAGGGTGCCAGTGAGGTAGTAACTCCTGGAAGTATTAGGCAGGAAGAGGCTTCTATCTATTTTGTGAAAGTCATAAACATGCTAAAGATGAAGGGTGAAACAGTAAATGCATAATAAAATATCAAATTTCACAAAAGCATATGAATTACATAATGCACTACAAAATTTTTTTCCATCAGTGGGAACTTTTTTAATCACAAAATTAAATGAACAGAATAGACATTTATTTATTATTTTTAAAGAGAACAAAAATTAAAAAAACATTAAAAATGATACAGAATTTCAAAGTAAGATGATAGGAAATCAACACGGTTGTTATACTGGATATTGTTATCTTCAAAGTAGATGTTCAGATTACCAAATATAAGCATGCAAAATTGGTCAAAAAAATTAAGCATTAACTGTTCCTTTCAATAAACTAACAGAAATTAGTAGCACAATTATCTTGGCTATCTTGTGTGTGTGTGTGTGTGTATATATATATATAATTTCTTTTCTTTTCCTTCTATCTTTTCTCCTTTCCCTCATCCCAGTTGTTCTTTCCCTTTGAGCAGTTTCTTTCCCTTTCACAATATTCATTGTACTTTTTGGACTTTGCTTACTCTTTCAGTTTCTTACACTAGGGAGACAAGACAATGTTTACACATGTGGGTCTGATTTATTTCACTTATGAGCATGGTCTCTAGTTGCATCCATTTACCTATGAAAGCCATCCATTTATCTATCTTTCTTTATAGTTGAGTAATACTCCACTGTATAAAAATACATCTTTTTTATCCATTTCTCAGTTGAAGGGCATTTGGGTTGTTTCTAAGATTTAGCTATGACCAGTTGTGCTGCTGTCAAGGTGGGTGTACATATATCGCTGTGGTATGATGTTTTCAGTTCTGGAAAAATACAGAGAAGGTGAATAGCTGGGTCAAATGGGATCTCTAATTCTAGTTTGTTGAGGAAGCTCTGTCCAATTTGCTTAGACAAGAAGCTTTTTCAATTTGCTCAGAAGGATAATTTATCATTTTAATAGCAACACCCTTTTAGTAGGTTACTGTTAAACTGATGTTATAAAAATAAATGTATTGCTACTATTAAAAGAATAATTTCTAGCATAATCTGAATAGTTTATTCAATTTTCATAAAACTTACATGAACTAGATATCAATATTTATCCTTTGAAACCTTGTGCTTCATTAAAACTAGAATACAAGTAGCAGAACAATGGAGATTAATCTATAAGAAAATATAATATACAGAATTTTCTTTTAGGCTTTATTTATTTAGAAGTTTCTGTTTAATTTTTCCTTCCTTCCTTTCTTTTTTTTTTTTTTTTTTTTGAGGCAGGGTCTCACTATGTAGTTCAGGCGTTCAGGCTGGCACTGAACTCTCTATATAGCCTGGGATTGCTTTGCTCCTCCTCCAGCCTGAGCCTCCCGAGTGCTGGGATTATAGGCACGTCTCACCATACCCATCTCTATTTATAGACATCCTAAGAGGCAGTGCTTAAAGTGTTACAAACTTAAAATTCTCCTTTTGGGGTGACTATGATGACAGATTTTCCATTTCCATTTTTGTACTCAGTGGTGCTTAGTTTGATTTTTTTTATAAAAGGCTATCCATGATTGATGTAAAAGCTCTAATTCCAGTAAATTACCCACAAACTGTTACATATATAAATGGTAAGGTAGTATAATCACAAAGCAAAGTTCAAAGACTCAGGTTTAAGTCATGAAGATAAAGTATTAAATACTGAATGGTGTATTTTGTCTCTCAAACTGCCTCTTTTAGAAATACTTATGACTAAAGCTGGAAAAATAAGTTTTTCCTTAATATACGAGATAACCCAGAAAGCCCTCTTTCTAACTTCAACACAAAAAAGGACTAGTTTGTGACAGAGATTCAGCAGATAATCCTGACCACGTCTTAGGGGGAACTTGTGAGATATCACAAACATTGTGAAACTGGAGAGGGGGGCGCAGACTCTTACAATAATTACATAAAGCAAAGTCCATGCTTCCTCAGAAGCCAAAGGCAAACCACACATTCTATTCTGCAGAAGAAGTGCTGACTTTCTCTTTCTACATGAACTCAAAGGACTCACAGAACAAGGTAAATCTGTATGCTTTTAAAGATTATTCTTAGAGCCACCATCCCCTACCAACCTCCAAATGAGGTTCTCCACAGGCCATGCAGGTGGACACACACCCACCTCTGCTCTGGTGAAAAAAACTGGCAGCAAAATACAGCTTCTCCTGGACCTGGAATCAAGACACCTGGAAAACAATAACTTAGTTAAAATACATAAATAAATAAAAGTAGATCTCTGCGAATCAACAAAGAGCCAACAAGAGAACTAGAAAATACACAGCAACTGAACATAATGTAGAGAAAAGAACAAAGTACTCTTGAACAGTAGCTAGCTCCCAAGGAGGCAGACCTGTCCTCATTAATACAAGGTAAACCCAGAGAGGGGTTCGCAGCTCCAGGGATAAACAGTGAGCTGGACTGGCAGCTCTAACCCCAAGGAAAGTCCATGGTTATAGTAAACTACAAAAACAGAAGAGGGGTCTTACTCTGAAAATAACTCCTCTGCATGGCAGGTTACAGTTGGAGAAGAAATCCAGTGCAGTGCCCACCATAAGAGATTTAATCAGGAGCCATTTTGGGAAGGGGTTAATTGTTTAAGACTGAGCTACAGAAAAACTACACTTCAGGCTTTCTGGGGTCACTGTACTACAGTGACTGGGGAGGAGACAGCCATAACAGCAAGTAGTAAAGAGGGTACAAGGTAGACTTAGACCCCCTGAGAAGTTTAAGTTCAGGCTGGGAAAGGACACAGCGGTTCTTTCCAAGTTCACAAGGCAGGCTTGTCATGGGTGGCTTTTGGAGCCAGCCGGGTCTGAAAGTGCTGGCATTAAGTCCAGAGGACTCCTTTACTCCTTCCCCACTGTATACACTCAACACACAGCCCAGTGGTGTGTCGCCTTTTTCCATCTGCCAACATGACGAGGTATATGCCTTGGCTTGGGCGACTGCCACAGCTTGGAGTGTATGGACAGAGGGGCCTCTGGAGCGGGCATGGAGAACCTCATAAACCCACATGCCATTAAACTAGCTGGCGAAAGCATGCCTCGGGCACACAGAGGACCATAAACACTAGCAGCAGCCGAAGTAATTACAGCCTTAGGGTGGATACTATTGACCAGTCATGTCTAGAAGGAAAGGCAGGAGAGGATTCAGCATTCACACACAGAAACATGAGTGTAGAAACAAAACAGGTCTTAGTAGTGACTCTCTATCCCTCCCTCATATCTGGTGAATTCCAAAACTGTAGACACTGGAAAGAAATCACTCATTTAAAATAACAGAAATTTTTTGAACTTGTTTCTTTTTCTTCATTGATTCTTTAAGGGGGGTGGGTTTTCTTTTCTATTTTTCTCTCAGTGCTTCTTTATTTTTTCTTTATTTTGCTGTTTTTCTTTTCTGTTACTTTTATCTAATTCTATGGATTTTCTTTTATCTTTTTTGGTATGGAAAATCGAACTCAGGACCCTGTGCTTGCCAGGCAGATGCTATGCCACTGAGCTATATCCTTGGCTCTCTTTTACACCTTCTTTTTTTGGTTTTGTTTTTTTTCCGGTACCAGGAATCGAACTCACGACCTTGCACTTGCCAGGCAGGTGCTGTGCCGCTGAGCTAAATCTCCAGCCCCCTCTTTTTTAATAGTATTCTTTAACTCGCTTTTCTGTAATCCTTCTCATCTTTTCTCTTTCTCTCTTTCTCTCT